GACACACAAACTTATAAACAACACTCTCACCTGCATCAAATTCACTGGGGAATAAGAACGAACAGCTCCCATTCCTGGACATCATGGTAGAACGCAGGGCATACGGGGAATTTCTGGCAAAGGTACACAGAACGGCCACACACACAGATCAGGTCCTGAATTTCAACAGCAACCACCCCAACACCCATAAACAGAGTTGCATAAAAACACTATTTAAACGAGCGACAACACACTGCAGCAACCCAGAACCACACCAAACGAAGAATACCTCTACCAAGTCTTTAAGGACAACGGATATCCAAACAGCTGGGTCCCATGATGCCTATCGCACAAACAACAGGAAGATACAGTACGCCCTGACACACTTGTCACATTACCATACATCAAGAACGTATCCAAACTGACCACAAGGCTCCTACAACCACTGGGCATCAGAGTGGCACACAAACCTACATCAACCCTACGCCAACTGCTAACTCCAACCAAAGACCCCTTACCCACTATGAACAGAACCAACATGATATACAAGATCCCACGCAAAACTGCAACAATCATTACATTGGACAGACAAGAAGAAAATTGGCCACAAGAATACATGAACACCGACCAGCAACAAAAAGACATGACTAGTACTCACTCATCTCCATTCACACGGATAAGGGGAACTATCAGTTCGGTTGGGACAACACCAGGATCCTAGGAAAGGCCAAACAGAGAAAGCACAGGAATTTCCAGAGGCTTCATTCTCCACCAAGAAGGCCATCAATAAACATGTAGAATTAGACCCTAAATACACACCACTGTGAAGGAAAACTGGAAATGAGGTAACCAATTCCAACAGACCCCAGAGTTTAAAAACCCAGGCGGGAAAACACAACAGCACTTCATCAGTGACTGCACCAATGAGGTCACCCAGCAGGATAATGAAACGTCTGCAAACTAACAAACCAGCTTGGCGAGCCAACCAAACACAGCATCCACAATCCGAGCTACAAATCTACTCAAGAACTAATGTGCCTGCTTGCACCACCTCCACTGACAGTGCATTCCAGGCACCCACCACCTACTGCAAAAGATTTTACCTGCACTTCACCCCTTAACTTTCCCTCTCTCACCTTGAACCTGTGCCCTCCTGTGTCCACCATCACCCTGGGAAAAAGCCTTTGACTATCCACCCTAGCTATGCCTCTCATAATTTTGTAGACTATGATGAGGTTGCCCGTCAGCCTCCATCTTTCCAGCAAAAACAACACAAATTTATCCAACCTCTCCTCATAACTAAAACTCTCCAGACCAGGCAACATCCCGGTAAACCTTCTCTGCACACTCTCCAAAACATCCATTCCTTTCCATAGTGTGGTGACCAGAACTGCACATAATATTTCAAATGTGACCTAACTGAAGTTTTATACAGCTGTAACGCAACTTGCCAACTTTTGTATTTGATGTCCTGGCTGACCACCTTATCCATCTGCGTTGTCACTTTCAGGGATCTGTGGACCTGTATGCCCAGAACTCTCTGTATGTCAATTTTCCTAAGGGTTCTGCCATTTATTGCAAAATTCGCACTTGAATTTGATCTTCCAAAATGCATCACCTCGCATTTGTCCGGATTAAACATCATCTGCCATTTCCCTGTCCAAATTTGCAATCCATCTATATCACCTTGCATTCTTTAACAATCCTCCTTTCTACAACTCCGCTAATTTTGGTGTCATTTTTTAGATTTAGATTTAATTACTTGTCACATGTACTAAGTATAGGAATGTGCAAGTACAGTGAAAAATGCCAAAAGTCGTAATTCACTGGCACCCACTTGGTTACGAAAACCAAATTTAAAAGATTTAACAGTCAAAAGATAAGCACAAAAAAAAGAGTCCAGATCTCAGAGTCCCAAGTCCCATCTCCACAACGATGCAGGCACTGCTCCAATCCCGAGGAAGCCCAGGAGGCCGCCACTGCCGCAGTGTGAAAGGCCCACTCTCACCACTGACTGCTGTCGCCTCATTGCCAACTTCAGCTGCCTCACCGGCCCACAAACTTACTAATCAGACCGCCTACATTTTCCTCTAGATCATTTACATATATTAACAACAACAAAGGTCCCAGCACTGATCCCTGTGGAACATTATTAGTTACTGATCTCCATTCTGAAAGGCACCCTTCCACTGCCACTCCGTCTTTTATGACCAAGACAGTTCTGTATCCAGCTAGACAGCACATGCCAGATCCCATGAGACTCTATCTTTTGTACCAGGCTGCAATGAGGTACCTTATCAAATGCCTTATTAAAGTCCATTTACACTACATCCATTGCCCTTCCCTCAATCATTCTTGTCACCTCCTCAAAAAAACTCAATCAAGTTGGTGAGACATGACCTTCCCTGCACAAACCCATGCTGCCTAACACTAACAAGGCCCTTCACTTCCAAACATGAATAAATCCTGTCTCTCAGTATGTTCTCCAAAAGCTTCCTCACCACTGATGTCTGGTTCACTGGCCTGTAATTACTTGGATTATTTGTTTCTCTTCTTAAACAAAAGAACAATACTGACCAATCTCCACTCCTCTGGAACCTCACCTAAGGCCAAAGTGGATGCAAATCCCAGCTAGCCCTGGAGACTTGTCTACCTTAACACATTTCAAAATATCCAACACTTCCTCCTTCATTACGTTGACTTGTCCAAGAGTATTCACACACCTTTCCCCTAACATCAACATCCCTCACATCCCTCTCTTTAGTCAATACCAATGTAAAGTGCTCATTAAGATTGTCACCCATTTCCTCTGGCTTCACATATAACCTGTCTCCTTTATCCTTGAGAGGGCTTACTCTTTCCCGGGCTACCCTCTTGCTTCTAATATACATGTAAAGTACCTTGAGATTCTCCTTAACCCTGCTGGCCAAGGACATTTCATGGCCCTTTTAGCCCTCATAACTCCCAAATTGAGCTCCTTCCTACTTTCTCTATATTCAAAGACTCTTTCTGTTTTTAGTTGCCTAGACCTTAGGTATGCTTCCGTTTTTTGACTAAGCTGATAATTTCCCCTGTCATCCAAGGTTCCTGAATCCTATCAATCCTGTCCTAATTTTCACAGTAACATGCCTGTCCTGCACTCTGATCAACTGGTCTTTTAAAGTGTCAGATATGGATTTACCTTCAAATAGCTGCTCTCAATCCTCATTCTCCGATTCTTGCCTAATTCAGTTACAGTTGGCCTTGCCCCAATTTAACACCTTAATTCAAGGTCCTTATCCATAAGTATCTAAAAACATACAGAATTGTGTTCACTATTCCCAAAATGCTCCCCCCACTGATACTTCGATCCCCTGGCCAGGCACATTTCCCAATACCAGGTGCGGTATGGCCCCCTCCCTCATTGGACTACCCACATGTTGCTTCAAAAAACAAAAAACCCTCCTGGACACATCTAACAAATTGCTCCCCATCTAAGCCTGGTATCAAGGGAGTCCCAGTCAATATGGGGGAAGTTAAAATCACCCACAACAACAATCCTATTATTTTCACATCTTACCAGAATCTGACTACATATCCTTTCCTCTATCTCCCACTGACAGCTGGGAGGTCTGAAGTACAATCCCAGCATTGTGATTGCATTCTTCCTATTCCTGAGTCTACCTATAATGCCTCACTGCAAAATCCCTCCGGCGCGTCCTCTCTCAACACAGCTGTGATTTGCTCAGTAACCAGTAATGCAACGCCTCCACCTCTTTTGCTACCTCCTCTATCTAACACATCCTTATCCCAGAACATTAAACTGCCAATCCTTTCCCTCTTTCAACAATGTTTTGTGATAGCAACAGCATAATTGCATGCTTAATCCAGCCTCCAAGTTCATCCATCTTGCCTGTTACAATTCTTGCATTGAGACAAATACAGTCCAAGCTTCCAGTTCCACTGAGCACAGGAACCTCTCCCTGGCTGCTCTTTCTCTTAGCAATATTTGCCTTAGTCTGTAGGTCTTCCCCAGGCTCTATACTTACTGATCTGCTATCGGAAGGATGTTGTGATACTTGAAAGAGTTCAGAAAAGATTTACAAGGATGATGCCAGGGTTGGAGGGTTTGAGCTATAGGGAGAGGCTGAATAGGCTGGGGCTATTTTGTCTGGAGCGTCTGAGGCTCAGGGATGACCTTATGGAAGTTTATAAAATCATGAGAGACATAGGGTGAATAGTCAAGGTGTTTTGCCAGGGGTATGGGAGTCCAAATCTAGAGGGCATAGATTTAAGGTGAGAGGGGAAAGATTTAAAGGGGACCTAAGGGGCAACCTTTTCACGCAGAGAGTGGTGCATGTATGGAATGAGCTGCCAGAGGAAGTGGTGGAGGCTGGTACAATTATAACATTTAAAAGGCATCTGGATGGGTTTTTGAATAGGAAGGGGTTAGAGGGATATGGGCCAAATGCTGGCAAATGGGACTAGATTTATTTAGGATATCTGGTCAGCATAGACGAGTTGGACCAAAGGATCTGTTTTCATGCTGTAGAGCTCTATGACTCTATAATCTGCTGCTCTGGTTCCCACACCCCTCTCCCGCCACACTAGTTTAGACCCTCTTACATGGCACTATCAAACCCCCCTGCCAGGATATTAGTGCCCTTCCAGTTTAGGTGCAGAGGAAGATAGAGGAAGAAATATGTAGATTCTGGAAAGATATGAAAATATCAGGAATAGTAGGAACTGCCTAGTAGGAACTCTGATGCTGCTTGGCCTGCCGTGTTCATCCAACTCTACACCTTGTTATCTCAAAATATCAGGAATGTTGTGGTGGGCGATTTTAACTTCCCCGTATTGACTGGGGCTCCCTTTATGCCAGGGTTTTGGATGGGGAAGTTTTTTAAGGGTGTCCTTCTTGTCCCATCTTATCTATTATGCTTCACTTCAGTGCATCAACTAACAGCATGTCCATTAACTAGTTAGTGCTTCATCAATATTCAAATACAATGCGTTCCATGCAACAATATAGACAGTCTAACCTGATTCGCTTCTTCTCTTCAATGCTAACAGGCATTTCTCGCAATGGCCCAATGTTCTGTTCTAACTCATCTGAACCAGTTCTTCTATGAGTTAGTGAAGTAAACAAATAACTGGGGACCGTGTTTCTCCGTTTGGTTGAACCTTTACCAGCTGAAGTCCTTCGAATTAGCGATTGATAACTGGGCAATTCATGTAAGAGTGGGTTGAGAGAAAGGAAGAAGCCTACAATGAAAGTAAAACAAAACACATTAGAAAATAAATTTTAAAAATCAAAAAGACAATTTATTAATGCCAATGAGTTATTTGTTCAAAGTGAAACACCAGTTAAGTAGATTTTATTCATATTAAAGATCACAAAGGCTGTTTTAAAGTTGGATGCTCAAGTTTGCCACAGAAAACTCACCAATTCCAGGCTCAAAGAATCCAACATACACAAATATTAAGCAGTTTAAGAAAACTTCTAAAACATTCCCTTCATTCAGAGGCACATTTCACCAGAGTTGACAGTCCTTTTGCATCTCACCTATCAGTGAGCTTACAAAATACCAGCAAAACAAAAAAGCCTGGAAAAGCTGAAAATCCAGCTTGAATCAGGGTTCTGAAGAAGGGCCACTGTACCTGAAATGTTAATTCTGCTTTCTTGCCACAGATATTAACAGATCTGGATGAATTTTTCCGGTTTTTGTTTCTGAATATCAGCAAGCTATTTCATCACATGGATGAGAAGATTGCGGGGGGAAAAAGAAACATAGCCAAGTCAGATGCTCTCTAGGCTAAGCTTGCAATGTGCATTTCCGGCAATGCTTACCGGATTTTCTTTTCATGTTGGTCAATGGGATATGAGCATTGTTGTGTATGCCAGCGTTCATTGATCATCACTAACTGTCCATGGGAAGGTGGCACTGAGCAGCATTCTTGAACTGCAGCAGCCCATGTGGTGCAGGTGCAGGTATACCAAACAGAGAGTTCTGGAATTTTGACCGATCAACAGTGAGGAAACATTGATATACTTCCAAGTCAAGATTGTGTGTGATTTGGTGGGAAAATTGTGGGTTGTGTTGATCCCATGTACTTGCTGCCCTTGACCTTCCGGGTAGTAGTGGCCACGGATTTATAAGGTACTATCTAAGGAGCCTTGGTGAATTTCTATACTACATCTTGTAAATGGAGCGCACTGCTGCTACTGAGCATCAGTGGAGAAGGAAGTGACTGTTGAAGTTGGTAGATGGGGTGCCAATCAAGTAGGCTGCCTGGTCCTAGATGGTGTTAACAATTTTAGAAACATAGAAAATAGAAGGAGTAGGCCATTTGTCCCTTCAAGCTTGCTCTGCCATTCATTATGATCATGACTGATCATCAAATTCAGTAGTGTGCTGCTGTTTTCCCCCAGATCCTTTGATTCCTTTAGCTTGAAGTGCTATATTCAACTCCTTCTTGAAATCATTCAATGTTTTGGCCTCGACTGCTTTCTGTACTAGTGAACTCCATAAATTGCCACTCTCTGGGTGAAGACATTTACCCCTTGTCCTTAAACCATGATCCCTGGTTCTAGACTCCCCTGTCATCGGGAACATCCTTCCTGCATTTACCCTGTCTAGTCCCATTAGAATTTCATAGGTTTCTATGAGATTCCCCCCTCATTCTTCTGAACTCCAGTTCATATAATCCTAACAGATTTCAAATCTCCTTAAAAGTCAATCCCACCATCCCAAGAATCAGTCTGCTATATGTTTGCTGAACTCCCTCTTTAGCAAGAACATCGTTCCTCAGATAAGGAGACCAAAACTGCACACAGTATTCCAGTTGTGGTCTCACCAAGGCCCTATATAATTGCAGTTAGATATCCCTGCTCCTCTATTCAAATCTTCTCACTACAAAGGCCAACATATAATTTGCCTTCTTTTCCACCTGCTGGATCTGCATGCTTTCCTTCAGCGACAGATATACAAAGACACCCAGGTCTCACTGCACATTCCCCTCTCTCAATTTATAGCCATTCAGATGGTAATCCGCCTTCCTGTTTTTACAACAAAGGGGATAACCTCACATTTAGCCACATTATACTGCATCTGCCATGCATTTTCCCCCCTTACTCAATTTATCCAAATCACATTAAAGCACCTCTGCATCCAACACCCTCTCCCACCCAGCTTTATGTCACCTGCAAATTTTGAAATATTACATTTAGTTTCCTCACCTGAATCATTAATATTGTGAATAGCTGGGTTTCAAACTCTCATCAGTCATTGCTTGCCATTCACAAAAAGACCTGTTTATTCCTACTCTTTATTTTCTGTTTGCCAACCGGTTTTCTATCCGTCTCAATCCCATGCATTTTAATTTTACACACTAATCTCTTTTGTGGGACTTTGTCAAAGCTTTCTGAAAGTCAAAATAAACTACATCCAGTGGCTTCCCTTCATCAACTCTACTAGGTACATTCTCAAATAATTCTAACAGAATTGCCAAGCATAATTTCCCTTCTGTAAATCCATGCTGAATCTGTCTAATCCTGCCAATGGTTTCTAAATGCTCTATTAAATCTTTTATCATGGACTCTAGCATTTTCCCCATGACTGATATCAGGTTTACTGGTATATAATTCCCAGTTTCCTCTATAGCTCCCTTTTTAAACTGAGCGGTTACATTCCAGTCTACAGGAGCTGTTCCCAACTCAGAAGAATCTTGGAAAATGAGCACCCATGCATCCAGTATTTCTAGGGCTATTTCATTAAGTACTCTGATGTAGATTATAAGGCTGAGAGATTTATCGGCCTCCAATCCCATCAATTTCCCCAACATCATTTGCCTACTAATGCTGTGGTTGGTTCACACGCCGAGCTGGTTCATTAGTTCACAGACATTTTATTACCCTGCTGGGTAACAGCATCAGTGCAGCCTCTGATGAAGCACTGTTGTGTTTTCCCGCCTGGTATTTAAACTCTGGGGTCCATTAGATTTGATTACCTCATTTCCGATTTTCGTTTGCAGTGGTATGTATATGCAAGGACTACGACAAACATTACATTAGACAGACTGGAAGAAAATTGGCCACAAGGGTACATGAACACCAGCTAACGACAAAAAGACACAACCAATACTCACTCATCTCCATTCACACGGATAAGGAGAATCACCAGTTCAGTTGGGACAACACCAAGATCCTAGGAAAGGCCAGACAGAGACAAGCACAGGAATTTCTAGAGGCTTGGTTCTCCACCAAGAAGGCCACCAATAAACACATAAAATTAGACCCTATGTATACACCACTGTGAAAGAAAACTGGAAATGAGGTAACCAATTCCAATGGACCCCAGGGTTTAAATACCAGGTGGGAAAACACAACAGCGCTTCATCGGAGGCTGCACTGATGCTGTTACCCAGCAGGATAATGAAACGTCTGCAAACTAACAAGCCAGTTGGCGAGTGAACCAACCGCAGCATCCACAACCCGAGCTACAAATCTACTCAAGAACCTTAGATTTTCCCTGCTAATGTCTTACCAACTTGATAGAATTCTTTGAGGAAGTGACAAAGTTGATAGATGAGGGAAGGGCTGTGGAGGTCATATACATGGACTTCAGTAAGGCGTTTGATAAGGTTCCCTTATCAAATGCCTGTGTATCAAATTGATACACAGAGAGATCTGGGTGTTCAGGTCTATTGTACCCTGAAGGTGGCAATGCAGGTCGATAGAGTGGTCAAGAAGGCATACGGCACGCTTTCATTCATTGGACGGGGTACTGAGTACAAGAGTTGGCAGGTCATGTTACAGTTGTATAGGACTTTGGTTCGACCATATTTGGAATACTGCGTACAGTTCTGGTCGCCACATTACCAAAAGGATGTGGATGCTTTGGACAGGGTGCAGAGGAGATTCACCAGGATGTTGCCTGTTATGGAGGGTGCTAGCTATGAAGAGAGGTTGAGTAGATTAGGATTATTTACATTAGAAAGACGGAGGTTGAGGGGGGACCTGATTGAGGTCTACAAAATCATGAGAGGTACAGACAGGGTGGATAGCAAGAAGCTTTTTCCCAGAGTGGAGGACTCAACTACTAGGGGTCACGATTTCAAGGTGAGAGGGGAAAAGTTTAAGGGAGATATGCATGGAAAGTTCTTTACGCAGAGGATGGTGGGTGCCTGGAACGCTTTGCCAGCGGAGGTGGTAGAGGCGGGCACGATAGCGTCATTTAAGATGTATCTAAACAGATACATGAATGGGCAGGGAGCAGAAGGATGCAGATCCTTGGAAAATAGGCGACAGGTTTAGATAGAGGATCTGGATCGGCGCAGGCTTGGTGGGCCAAAAGGCCTGTTCCTGTGCTGTAATTTTCTTTGTTCTTTGTTCTAATAGTTATTTCCTTTGGTCCCCCACTCGTGCTAAACCCAGTGTTTCACAACATTTTTGAGATCTTACTTGAGCCCTCCGTTATGAGCACAAAGCCAAAGTATGTATTTGTTTGGTCAACCATTCTTTGTTTCACACTATAAATTCTCCCATTTCTGACTGTAAGGGACCCACATTTGTCTTCAGAATTTTTTTTTCTCTTCACATATCTATAGGAATATTTACAATCAGTTTTTATGCTCCCTGCAAGCTTATTCTCATATTCTTTTCCCTTTATTAATTAATCCATTTGTCCTCCAAAGCTAAATTCTAAATTGTTCCCACTCTTTAGGTCTGTTGATTTTATTGTGTGTTATTGGAGCTGTGCTTATGCAGGCAATTGCAGGATGTTTCATCACACTCCTGAGGTGTACCTTGCAGACACTGGACAGGATGGATTAGAAAGGACTTGAGTTACTCACTGTATAATTCCCAGCCACTGACCTGCTCCTAGAATCACAATATTTCCATGGGTTTTCTAGTTAGGTTTCTGGTCAACATCAACTCCAGGATGTTGAAGTCAGGTGTAACACAATGGGTTAGTGTTGGTAATTACATTCACTGAAATGGGGTGATAGTTTCATTCTGTCTTGTTGGCGATAGTCACTGCCTGCTACTTCTGTCATACAAAATGTTACTTACAACTTATCAGCCCAAGTCTGGAAATTATCCGTAGCTTGGTGCATATGGATGTAGTCTGCTTCAGTATCTGAATTATGGATGGTGCTGAACTTGGTGCAAGTATCACCACTTCCGACGTGGTGGTGCGGGGAAGATCATTGATAAAGCAACTGAAGATGGTTGGGCCTCGGATACTGTCCTGAGGAATTTC